AAGTCTCCTTTGATCTGCGTGACATCAGAATGTATTGTTAGATTCCTTTTTGCAATGTCTTCTTTGCTTTCGAAGTCATGACCTGACATAAGATGATTAAAGGTCCTTTTAATTGACCACATTGAAAGTTCATTCTGTAAATCGACGCGTCGCTTGTTTTAACACCTGTATTTGCTCTTCTGTCTAGCTGGTCTCCAACCCGGATAATTCTCGTACAAAGTCGTTACCAATTAAGTCGCAATCAAGCTGAAATGTACAATATCGTACATGTTTATTGCAAAGTGATAATATGTATTTGTACTGATTGATTAATATTTGTTATTTTATGGTTATTTTATACAAATGATGATCATAATATTTTCAAGTCTTACTTCAAATTCCAATCTCCTTCATCTGAAAGCCATGTACTAGTATCTAATTACACAATCTGAAAATTCTTTTTCTGTTGAATAGTATGGTTCCCACTCAAAATGATTTAATCAATTTAATTCTAACTTTCATGCAAACAGATAGAAAATTTCCTTTGCTGCTATTTTTGCCTTTTTTAAAGGAGCTCCAGAGGTCTTTAAGCATATAAACAAACAAACAAAAAATGGTGGCTGATTTGGTACGTCTATAGTTGGCGCTAGTTATCGCGCTCTGCCTCTAGCGCGGCACGCCAAACGTGTTGTCGTGTGTCGCGATGTCGCTTGGCGTGTAAAAGCGTACCAAATCAGCCACCATAAAAATGCTTATATAGATCAAGTTTGCAAATGATAATGAAGAAAAATTAAATATCGATTATTTGGGTCATTTTGCACAATAGAAATCATTATTCTGGAAAAACGGAATGAGTGAATGATCTGAAATTTGCACACAAGTTATAGGTTCAAACCTGCGCCAAAATCGAATAAAAATCAATTAAAAAAGAAACCTTTCAAGTCGGGGCATGTAAAAATACAACCTCAGCTGAGTCCTTTTAATGCCCCGGGCATTTTTTTCTCTCTCCAAAGACAAGGGACTAACGTTTTGAAGATTTAATTTTTGTAGGCATGCTTGAATGATACGAGAATTCGTGAAAGATGCGACGGTCTGTAGATTCGAATTTTCAATTGCATATAATGTGTGCTAAATAAGAGCAACATACTTCTCTGGCCGAAATCGTTCGTAAATCCCAAGTGCAATAATGTAGTTTGTGTCCTTGGATGTTATAAAGATTTTGACAACGGTAACTGACGTAGACAGGAAGTGTCAGATGTTTATAGCACCTCAATGTTCCTAAGAAACGTCTACAGACGTGTTTCAATGACGTTGATAAATGTTCAATTACTTGCAAGTGACAACATTTGTCGTCATCAATAGTATTTTTGTAATCTACATAATTTCGCGTAAAAGTCGCCTAATATGCACCATGTACATGAGGTTTAAAAAGATATTAATATATATGTTTAGACAATCGATAATATACACACATATATAAAGGTTCGTCTGTGAAAAAAATCAAAGCTGCAAAATGTCACGTATTGATAACTTTTAATAAAGTACTTCTCAAAAGCAATGATTGTAAATTGTTGTTAATATCAGAGGGTAATTTTGTATATTACATAAGACGAATTGATGTGTTATTAGATGTCGTTAGGAGCTTGAGGCAAGCCATGTTAATCTGTACTACAACATAATTTTAGAACACTGGCAAGGAAACGCCTAAATAAAGTGGTGCTAAATCCTTAAATAAGCAAACAGATTAATGCTACATCTAACATTAAAGGCACATTGTGCCTCAGAACCGAATAATTTTTTTCTTTTTTACAAAGGGGAAAACTTTAGTTTTACAAGATTTAAGAAGCAGCTTCATTTCAAAACATATCTTCCTTAACTGGAAAGTCTCATACATGTATTTAGCAGTTTTATACAGCTTACATTTACTACTACAAGACATAATGGTCACACATTTCTGTACATTAGGCCATGCACAATTACTCAAATTTCTAGCTCTCAGATCAACATTTACATGACATGTTAATAGAAAGTGATACTCTGGTTTAATCATTTTACATATAAACATGGTATTATTTGTGACTTCCATACAAAATACTTAGTCACTATTACTGTACTAAATGCCAAAAAGCATCATAAGCAAATGATAAACCAAGTAATTGGCCAATGATTAACTATTTGAAAACTTTTACATGACACTTAAATGAAAAAAAAAATGACAATAAAAAATAAAAACCTTTTCGAGGCATTATGAGCCTTAAGAACTGTGTGTAACATTCAAATAGAATTATACCATTAAAGTACAATTTATTTTAATATGTATCTCCAGCTGTTCAATGGTAATTTGGTTTGATGTTACAGATTATACTACGTGACACAAGTAAAATAAGCCTTCGTTCTTGACTTTGAAATGTCAGAGAGACATATTATTAAAATTGCGTGTGTGATTATGTATGTGTGGTAAGGGGTCGCGCGCGCGTCTGTGTGTTTGTGTGCTTGCGCACCTTTGCATGCGTGCATATAGTACAATTTTGAGGGACAAAAATAGATAATACCAATGCTGTAGTCGCTCTTGAAATTCCGCAAATATCAAAATCAGACAGAAAAATATTGTTCTTCCATTTAAAATGTATACAAAATTATGCTAACTAAGATATTGTCATGTGCGCCACATATTACACATTTATTCATATTCCTTAGGAATATACTATATATATACCCGTTGTTTGTTATTTTTGTATTTTGAAACTGAAATTTGCTTGTGTATTGTTCTGTTTCACATAATATTACGAAAGAGAATATTACTCTTTAATATATTTTGTTAATGCGATAATCGACGAAGTAATTGCTGGGAGGATTTGACTCAGTCTATTCCCTTACATATTGTGTACAACAAAATGTATTAATGTGCTCTTTGTTTGAACCGCTAAAATACAATTAACTAACCGTCTTTGTCCTACTGGCCATAGCTTTTACAATCGTTAAGTATATAACTGAATTTTGTGTTTACTGGAAACACTTAATGATACAGGAACCCACATATGTACTCTTTCAACTCATTACACGCACATGATGCAATTCATTACCCTTTATGGACACACTAGTTTGACGAGGGGGACGCCGCTTTTGTCTAATTTTGGTTAAAACACGTACGAATCACAGGCACGAGTATCGGACCTGGGAAGAAAAAATATGACCAGATTGATAAAAGAACCTGTGTTCACCTTAAAAATGTAAAACAAAAACAAAACAAAATGTAAACAATGACCCCCTTTAAAAATTTACTACTTATAGTATATTTTTAAAGGGGGTCATTATTTACAAATTACACCTTTTTTTAGTTTTCTGACACTTTTAAGATGAACACAGGTTTTATTTATCAATCTGGTCATATTTTTCTTCCCAGGTCCGATACTCTTGCCTGTGGTACGAATACTCTACCGCCGCTGCGATGGACCCACCGCTTATGTGAAAGTTATGGGCAGTGTGATTGTGATAACTTCATTCCTATTGATTTCAGCTTTTTTACAAATTTCTTTTTCATCTTTGTTTTTTTGGATAATTTTTTTACAAAATTGTACTTAAATTTTAGTAAAACGATTCTTTTTGCCCTTAAAATTCTTATAAAAAAAAGGGCGAGAAATTTTTTTAAATGACATTATTTGTATATACTGTGTGCACATAGTGAAAGCCAATTTCGATTATGACAACCTCTCATTTATAACATAAAATCAGCATTTTGTTTACTCTTTCTTGTGTTTTTGTTCATTGCTGCCATGGTAACAGCTTCTGATTATTTTTCCTCTCATCTGGTGATAAAGTCATACACCTAATACTAATTATCACTTTTCATACTTTTCAAGGTTATTTATTTTGTGAAGCTTAAAAGTTAGAACACATGACACTATGTTACCTTTAATAGTTATCAATTGCAATGTATTTCCAGGAGCAACTTGTACAATATTCTTTTAGTACCATTTTGATGCCTACAAAATGAGTATACCCGTCCCACTCACTGTATTATATATTATCTTACAAGACGGTTATACCTGTCCCAATCGCCCGTCTCACTCACAGTAACAAATATATATATCTACAACAGTACTGGTACCAGTCCCTATCCCAGTAAAAAGTAAAATCTGTCTGTAAGACGGCGATAACCATTTCTACTCACTCACAGTGATCTCTTTTTGTCTACATGACGGGAACACCATCAAGTTCCCAGTAACATCTTTTGTCAACAAGAAGCATACTCGACCCGCTCACAATAAAATCTACATACCTACCAGACGGTTATAACAGTCCCTCTAACAACAACATTTATTTTGTACATGACGGCCACCACCGTCCCATCTTTTTTGTCAACAAGAAGAATATTTACCCCATTCCGAATAACATCTATTCATCAACAAGACGGCCATACCACCGTTCCACTCCCCACTCGCAGTAGCATGTACAAGTTTTCTGATTTGAAGATTGGAAAAAAGCAACATTTTTATTTTTAACTTGGGTTTTATTTCTGCAATACAAGTATTTATCATCTACATTTTATACATGTATAAGGTAAAAACGTTTCCACCTTTAATAATTAAAAGAAATTGACGTCTGAATTTTTTTGTTCCGGGTCAGATTCTTCTTTCTAGAAGGGAATATTGCAATAATCTAACTTGTCGTGGATGCCACCTTTTATAATAAATTCATGTAATTTCCCACAGGCAATAACACTGTGATCACATGCAGGATGTATATATATTTCTGACAGTTAAATGATTGAAGCAGCATCTACAGACTAGCGACGTTTGTAATAAATATAGAGAACCATGTTTGAATAACATTGCATGATGAATACATAAACATGTTTGCAAAAACATTAGCTTTCTAATAGTTTTCTAAGTATTTCCACCATTTCACAGCCACTCACAACCGAGAATAAGGGTGATTTTTGAGAAGGGTGTATAATCATTTGTAATCCAAAAGAAGAACAATATCTAATAGCTTCAACGATTGTCCGGGCCATGGTCACGCTAACCGTCCGAAGAATTGCGCTTCTTTACTTTCGAACTTAGTTGCCCCCTCGTTGGAGCCACTGACTTTCTACAGACCTTACATGTGATTACATTTGAACATTTAATGAAAAACATAAAGCATTTGCCTATAGGTTGAATATTGACGTCTCGAGTTGCAAGTCTCAATTCTGCAATGCTTAAAATAACAATAAAAGTACTCAAACTTATCATAAGCATTAGATATACAGACAACAAGGACGTTGTCTCAGAATTTTGTGGCAATGCTGCTGCTATTATTGTTAAGAAAACGGCCATTGACAAGAAAACTGTGATCGCATAGCTTGCTCTTTCTCCAGACGACACAGGCAGAACGAACACAAATATGTCCAGGAGGGAGAGAAAAATAACTGGTACGATAATATTCAACACGTAAAAGTTTGGTCGCCTTTTTAATTTTAACGTAAAGAATACAGCTGCTTCATCCGTATTGGTCTCTCTTGCTGATGTTTGAACTAATTCCCATTCGGAATTTTCTACATACTCTTCAAGTTGTACACCTTTGCTTCCCACATCCAGATCGACATGAGATTGTGTATAACTCCATGCTGTGAACTTCAACTCACATATCTGTGTGTCAAATGGAAAAAATGTAATGTCCACCGAACAAGTTGATTCCAGAACCTGTAAAAAATTAAAAAGAAACATATTAAATTTTGTATTTTTAAGATCTGTATTGGCAATACAAATAATGCTATGATGTAATCATACATGTATATGTGCACAAAAAATAGAATAACGAATGTTCATATTACACATTTTGAGCCATAGATAAAAGTATGTTTGGTTTATTCAACCCATGGCAAATTGAAACGCATCGTTTGAAATATTGGGATTTGTTTCCATATCATATGGCTTTCACAATACGTTTCTGTTAACTTTCTTATAAAACCGTTTTCGACATCTCATTCTAGATAGTGCACTAAAAGAAAAAAACTACTCCAGTGCATTGCGAGTTATAGTTACATTTCCAATTAAACCCCTCAACGATTCTTGTAGCATTATCCCTTTTGTCTCTGTATTGCAATAATACTATATTCAATTTTAACTCCACAAAATATCATATTTAGCAATTTTCTGTGAAATCACAGTCAAAATAACTGGAAGAAATAAACGGTCTTGTTTTGTCTTCGTTATCAAACTTAAAGATAGACACGGGCCACTCTACAAATTAAAATTTAGGTACGGGAGGAAAAGATGTTGTTCGAATTGATTGGTGGGATTCAATTATGTTCTATCTCAAGTCAAGATCTACATTCATCTTCTATTTAATAAGAACATAACAATTAAATGTACAATAAACAAATGTGCTAAGTACTCCGATGTTATATTTCGAATCATGAGATACATCATTGAATTTTCTGGTTATTTTATGATATCTACATCTACACAAATATATGCCGTTCATTTAAAAACAAAAGGACACCTTTTGAGGTAAGGGTGAAAATAAAATTTCGATATTCGGTGTTTCTTTGGTATGTACATTTTATCTGAAGAAAACCTTTGACAACCTGTTCCAATTTGTGGCAATTTTGTACTATTACATTTATTTAGCTTCACTAGTCCAGGCAGATTCGCCCTTTTTTATAATATGAAAGCCCGAGAAAAGAAGCGTCCCCCATACATGCCTAGCAATGGAATTAATGGTAATTGCTTCATGAATGCTCGAATTATCGTGTCCCTGACGTCCGGGAGGCTTGGTAAGCTTCAATGAGCTTAAAAAAATAAGGTTGAATAAAATGAAATGATGAAAGAATCTGCGAATACAAAATTCCACCTTGATAAGACCCACACCTCAGACCTTTTTTTTTAAAAAAGGAATATTTAGTACTTAGAACATTTGTAAATCTATATGTTTAAATCCTTATGGTATCATTCGCTTGTTTTCGTAACCACTCGTTATAATGCTTACTTGAATTAGATATAACGTGTCAGGAACAACAACAAGTTTCGTCGATAATAAAGTTTGTTTTCGGCAAATTTAACCTACTCTTTAAATTAATTCCTTTCTGATACTAAACAGTGCATGCCACTGCCAAATGAACACATTGATTACCTGGTATGGGTTCCATTCAACAACCCCATTAGATGTAACGTAGACATTGAGGTAACTTGCACCAAGCCCAGTAAATGATTTAAATGTGTTCCTGAGAGATATGTCCGGCTTCCAAATATCATCCTGTGGCTAGAAAACATATTAAGATATTGTCGTTATGACATAAAAATCAACATAATCAAAATGGCGCGATAGTGACCACGATGAAACGTCATGGTGGCACAGGATATTATCTAAACTGTCATAATTTCACAAACACTATAAATAAACTGCTCTCTGTCTGTGCTGATGCTAATTCTTAATAGTAATAGTAATAGTGCGCGCACACACACGCACGCACGCACGTACGCACGCACGCACGCACGCACGCGCACGCGCGCGCGCACGCACACACACACACACACACACACACACACACACCAAATGTACTGGCCTAAGAACGGAAACGCAAGCTAAAAGTTGGTAAACGGAGAGACAAGCACCAGCATAGAGTTCTGGTCAACAGAAATAGGCACCATCATAGAGTCTGGTCACTGAACAATGCACCGGCATAGGGTATGGTCTTCGGTATCAAGCATAAGCATAGAGTCTTGGCAACAAAAGCTAGCACCAGTAAAGAGTCTGATCAAGGGTGGAAAATAACCGCATAGAATCTGGTCAACGGAAGCTAGTATCAATATAGAGTTTACGGAAGTAAAAACAAATAGAATCAATCAAACAGAGTCTGCAATTTTCATACTTTTCTTTTTTCAATATGAGATGACACCTTTTCCAGATTTTAAAGGAATTAATTGGTTAGTTTAAAGTTTTTTTCATTTTCACACGCAAATGATATATTAAGTGAAAGAGAAACGGAGGAAGGAGGGCTAACGAAAAGGATAAAGATTATTAGTGTGTAACGAACTGATATTCAGTAGCTTTTATAATCCCAAAATGCCTTGAACCTTGTTTATCATTTCATTTGTTCGTTACCCCACCCACTATTTTTATAAAGCAGATTATTAAATGTGCTAAATCATCCTTTTGTTGATATTTGTTAATTTTAGATAATAAATCACATTTTGTTGTCTATGTATGATATGTATGTTTATTTTCAGATTAATGTTTTACTGTGCACCGCGATATTTTATCGGAGTATTCATGGAAATTTTGTGTTCAAAATCGGCAACGTTGAGTCCTCTGTAATATGCTGATTACTTCCACTAAACCGTATAAAACTCTTAAATATTCATATATACGGGAAATAAAGTTGAAGAACGTACTGTTTGTGCAGCAAATTGTGTTTATAAAAGTAAATATTGCATGAAATCATCAAAAGAATGTGTATTTTTAATTTACTTCCGTGTTCAGAACCGCCATTAGCTCGCGCCACTAAATCTCGAGCAATGACGTCACAGGTCATATAAAAGCGCAGCTGGCGCGAAATTCAAGACAATGTCGAACATGGACGGCATTCATACGGTCACTCTGGGTTAAATAAAAATATACCAACGGTATATACCAATTTATAAAAAATGTGCGATGAAGAGGTAAAGTTATACCAACCAAGTTTTATTAAATAAAGTGTTTCCCTTGTCTCCATCTCCTGTGTATATTTTAATCGCGCGATACCAAATACCAACTGGTATCGAATACCAATACGCGGTTGTGTTATAATATTTGTTGGTATATTTGTGAAATATTTATGAATTATTAAAACAAAGTGTGTATGGTATATACCAACATATATAGAGTCTATATGAATTATATTAAATTATATTAAGAACATATTTGTGAATATTTGATAGAATACCAATATTGGTATAATTTTATCTGGTATCGATACCAGTTGATGCCAACAGAGGTTTTACTTGGATTTTGTGTGCTAGATTACCTAGAACTTAAATTCGTAGTGGTGATGATGCAAATCTTTATACATGTATTTTAAATAATCCTATAATTAATTTGAACGTCAGTGTTATAATTATTAACATTAATACCAAATACCAATTGGTATAATTTGGTAGCGAACACGTTATCGAGTCAAAGATGATTGATAAACGGCAATAATATACATTTGATGATATTGGTATCGTGATACCCGGCTAGTGTTAATAATAACAACGGAAAAGTGATTATTGTGACCTGTATATTCTCTAAATAAAGATTATTTATTAAAGTGCGTAATTTAGTGATTTCGAGAGTGTAGTGAAATTGTGAACATTATTATTAGTGTATTTTATTTCTTAAAACCGTGGTGCACAGTATATAACGTTTTGCATTGTGAATTGGTATTATTGATGCAGATTAAATAACGTTATAATATATTTATTGTTACTGTATTTATGTGATTGATGAATGTTGTTATATGTGACTATTTTATGTAACCGTTAATAAAGTTATAGTTAAATCTTAAATTGCCTCCGTTATTTTATTCTTTAATCATTCTCTATTATTTTCGCCACAAGCCGGGCCCAGGCGAACTCACGTAACACCCCTTTTAGAGTTAACAGGCCAACGCTCGAAGAAGGGGTTCGTTACAAATTTGGTGGCAGCGGTGTGGGATAAGCAATCTATTTGTGTTATTATCAAAAGTGCATTTGTAATATTTATTTATAATTATCGCATGGCTGTGAGCTTTTCCTTTGTTTCTTTACAAACCCATTTACTCAGTACACTTCAATGAGCATTTCAAAAACTGTATTGATATATAACAGTACAGTTTTTTCATTGATTCATATAGGAAAAAAAAACTGTACTAGAATTATATATCGGTTCTAGTTTTTTTTCGCACCTTGTATATATCAATACAGTTTTTTTCATAGAGGCTCCAATGGGGCAGTGGTAACGACCAATCCCAGTAGAAAAAAAACCATAAGATAATAAAAAATGAAATCAATAAAATAAAATAAAAATAAATATATTAATACAATGAAAAATATAAACAAAGATAATTAATGAAATGAAAAAAGCCCTTTAATCTTAAATCAATCTGGTAACAGTATACAATCCGCCTCTTATATTGGATGTCTTTTGTACATTTTTTTTGCGGCAGCGAACAACAACTTTGAAAAAACTGCCTTATGATAAATAACTGTAATGTAGCTAACGATTTAATTTTATTTATTTGTTTTCTATACAAAAAAGAAAACATTATGCTATTGCGATTAAAACAGTTATAGTATATGAAACTCGTTAGTTACGGGGGTATAACACTGGCTGGGGTCATCTCGGGATGTTTCTGCAAAAAAATGTCTCGGCCTAATGGCCTCGCCATTTTTTAGCAGAAACACCCCTTGATGTCGCCCCAGCCAGTGTTATACCCTCGTAACTAACTCGTTTCATATACTATAACTATTACTTATATTGCTATCATAAACCTGGTACCGGTGGTGAATATAAATATCTATTATAGTGGAAGACTCAGACATTATAACATTTAAACAAAATGAGAATTTGTGCTTATCAAAAGATGTTGACTGTGAATCGTTACCGAGTGATAATGAATCAATTGACGAAAATCCGTGTAGTATTAGCGCAGGAGATGGAGATAATGAGGAAAATTCTCTTGAAAAGTTAGTTAACAATTTTAATAGTCAGTTACAAAAAGGTTTGCATTCTGTACAGTTAGAAGTGAGAAAATCTTTAATTGATTTTGAAAGTAAATTAGACCATATGCAAACGCAGATTGATAATATCCATGCTAAATCGTGCAATAAAACAAATTTATATGATGACATGGATAATAAAGATGTGAGTTCACGTGATTTATGTCTCGAAAATGGTCAAATAAGTAGTACTCCTGATAATGACGATACCAATAATAATGGTCCTAATTCTGTGACTCAGATTACGCCGTTTGGCAAGAAAAATAGTAATATAGGTGATTATTCCCGACAATATCCGGTAAATACGCAAGGTACTTGTGGCATGTCCGACGTGTCAAATAGTAAAATGAAGCCACAGACTTATGATGGTTCAGATGACCTTGACGAATATTTAGCGCAATTCAATATTGTTGCGGAACTTAATAAATGGAATTACCATACTAAGTCATTATTTTTGGCAAGTAGTATAGTAGGGGGTGCACGTGCTATTTTATGCGAGTTAGACATAGAAAAACGGCGTGATTTCGATTCAATCGTTTCTGCTTTACAAAATCGTTACGGTTCTATTTATAAGGCGGAGATATTTAGATCTCGACTACAAAGTAGAATATTAGGAAGAAATGAAACTATTCCTGAATTAGCACAATCAGTTAAAAAACTAACGAGAAAGGCGTATCCTAGTGCTTCGTCAGAAGTTGTTGATTTGTTGGCATTAGATTATTTTGTTGATGCTTTGCCGGATACCGACATTCGGTTAAGATTAAGGGAAGTAGGACCAAAAACCATTAGTGAAGCTGAAAGAATAGCCGTTAGGTTAGACGCACACAAAGAAGCAGATAAAAGTAGGGGGGAGGAACCATGTCAGACATGTAGCTCCTGAAATAAGTTCTACTGATAGAAAATTAAATGATTTAAATTATCAGATTGAAAGCCTTGATGAATCAGGTTCGTGATTACCGTGACAAAGGTGAAACTCGAACACAAAACCAGAGATCTTACAAACCAAACATACAAAGCTCTAGACATGATAACAGGGGTCATTGGTCAAATAATCACCAAGTCGTAATAAGTATGAGCAAAACAGAAGAGACAAAAATCAAACTTATCCACAAAGTTATGCCCCGGGAAACGAAAAACGGATCGAATTTGAGGGCCGAAGTTCGAGACCAAGCACAGAAAGGTCCGACCCGATTTCAATAGATTAATAGTAAAGCTATGACAAAAGATGATGGATTTTTCATAATAGTGAAAATTTGCAACACTAAAGGTTTTTTATGTTAATTGATACCGGTTTCGAATGTTTTCAATTTTAAGGAAAGATTTATATGATAAGTTGCCTTTAGTAAATAACACCGGAAATTATACCAGTTAATATGACCATGGACTACTTCTACAGGTGATACAGCTCCGTTTTATGGTAAACTCTGTACACAAATTATTCAGTTGGTTCTCAGAATTTTAACCACCCAATCTTTCTTGCTGATATTAAGAGTGATGTATTTTGGGGATGGACTTTTTCAAATCTAATCAGCTGTCGCATTG